GATTCATACGGCGTTCTCCTCATGTGTCGAACCTAATGCATAAATTACTGTAATGTATTTTTCATATAACGGGACTCGTGATTGGCTCAAAATTGAGTGACGTGACCAGTCATGCATGAAGCTCGAAATCTTCGGTAAAACTAAACACAACAAAATTAAATATGCCTTCGATTTTTGAGAAACGGGACTGTATAAGCGAGTTTCTTTCGCGCAAATTCATTTTTTGCTTTTTATTCGTGATAATAGCCCAGATTATCAGATTTCCCTTTAACAAGTCGAATTAGCCGGGAGAAAACCTGTCTAAATACAGACACTGAACTTTGAGTTTGAATTTGCTTCCCTAAATATTGCTTCAACAGCGAAATGTTAGTCAGCTTTTCTATTTGGACAGAGTTCTTGAATTCAGAACACATATTTTCTCGTCTAAAATTTTTACCACCGGCTTCCGAAATTATGTTCGACACAAGTACGCAGTCTGAACCAGCCGGGGCTCCAAAGTCGCTCTAAAGTCGAACTTAATCAATTTTGGTTCGGCACATGAGTGGAGCGGCGTTTGGACCGGGCCTCTGTCAACCTATCAGCTGGAGTATGGCCACCATCTTGGGCAACTCTGCCTTCGCCTGCGTCGTGTGTACGCGCCCACGAGCAACCATGATAACCATGAGAAAATCAATTCATAGTTTTCTTTCCTATATGAGTATGGGGCTCCCCTTGCCAGCCCTTCGGGCCTCCGGAGCTCCGCTATAAGCTAATCATCAGGGCTCTCTAAGGACTTGCTATCTACTGCCAACTTAACTAATCCGATAGATCTTATATTCAGCTACATTAGACTGTGGATGCTTGTGGTGATAAGGCAAATGCTTATTCCCGATCTTCAACTGCAGAGATCTTTCCTACAACAAAATTCATTACTTGCCAGAGAAGTTGTTTTACTGTACGAAGGACTTAAAGTATCTGTAAGTAATGGGAATATTGGTTATTACCCGTACACTGTACTTTTTAAGCTGCCGATTTGAAAGATGTATCTTGGACAACTGAGAAAAAGATTCTACTTTGGACAACAGCAAACCACTTTTTAATGAAATGTAATCAAGAAAACAACATCTAGCTTTCATATTCACATTAGTTAAAAAAAAAATGTCTGCCCTTATTATCGATTAAAGGGAGAATAAAAGTACAAGTCGTAAAACGTACGTAAACAAATATCAGAATCGTTTAAGGGCAATTTCCCTTGCAAATAATGTTACCGGCTTCTGCGAGACCTCTGCCATGTGGGACGAGTGAGTTAACGGAGAAATCTTTACGCCTTGTTTTTTAATTTCTAGGTATTTGCAGAACAACACGTTACCTTCTTTATCAAATGAGACTTTCTCCAAGAGTACCAGTCTTCTTTACATGTACGTACGATCAGTAAACCAGCATTAGAACTGTGTTCTCGTGACGAAAGGACACAGAAAACTACAAATGACCTGTTTAATCGGTTTCCAGCAGCATAAATATAGTGAAATATTGGTACTCGGCTCGGGTGCCTTTTTCGGGGGAAATGGAATGTAATATAGATAGAGATAGAAGTTTTCATTCTACGCAGTATGGCTCTTTCAGGTAGAAACTATTTGCCTTCAGGAAATAGTCCAAAAGAACAAAAGCGGAAACATTCTGCTCGACAAGGAGTCTTCAAAGAGAAATCCAGCACAAATGGTCCAGTTTTAAGTTTTTGAAGTTTTTGTGAGACGAAAATTTAAAATAGAACTTTTGCGGCTTATGGTCCACTTGGTAAACCATCACGCTAGAAACGTATATAGTATATAGTCATGGTTTCAAATTTATTTTCAAACGAAGCAAAATGTCTTAACCCTTTGAATGCCAAACTTTTAAACCATCTAGTCAGGTTTTTTGGCTGCCATGACGCTAAATGAGCCTAAGTTTTGCTACGAAAGCTTTTTTTTTTTTTTTTTTTACCAAAAGGAGAGATTTCTCGGCCCTTTTACTCTGTTTACCTTTTGCGTTGCCTGTTTTTTCTGGCTGCCGTGAAACGTTGGATGTTAATTACGGGTGAAGCCTAGAAATGGACCTTGATAAATCAGAGGCGTAGTGGACCATTTTACCACCGCTTTTGCACCAATACTGATAACGTTGTTTTTCGATTTGCGACGTCGGAATGTCGTCGATATCTAAACCTGACTACTGTACGGAAAGGCCTAGCCTAGTAATACTATCTGCTTATCAAGAATATCTGATGACATTTAAATTGATGACGTCACAAGTGGTACAAAGAGCACAACCATTAATTACGAATATATATGCGTAATTGGTATTCAAAGGGTTAAGCTGCTTAATAATATGGAAAGTAACGGAGGTGCGATTATTGCAATCCATGGTTGTGAGTGAGAGGAGTTATCAGTTCTAAGGTTAAAAAAAAAGTAAAGAAAAGGTTGAAAACTAAAACAAAAATATTTAAATCTTGATCCAACTAAATGCATGGAAATATTTCAGTCCCCTTTTTTTTCCCGCAGATTTTTGGGTTTCAATCAATTAGAAATTATTTCGCATAAAACCTTCTTTAATCTGAAGCAGGTGGGACTTGACGATGAGATAATGTGAGTATCGAGCTGAAAATTGTAAGTAATAGATATGTTTCGAAACATATAGCAAGAACCTTACTATTTTGAACGAATACA